TGTTGTTGTTGCTGCTGCTGCTGCTGTTTGTCTTGTTTCTTTTGTTGATGTTGACACTGTTGCTGCTGGATTATATTGTAGCTTCTTCATAGTCGTTGTCCCAAATTTGTCAGAAATATACAGCAATTATTTTAGCTTTGAAACTATTTCACAGGAAGTGTATGTCAGCTAAGAATTGTAGCAAACCTTGTGTCAATCAACTCTTTATGGCTGCTCTTCATCGTCGACCATCGGTATGATGTATTCAAATGTCTTTTTAGCTTCCCCCTAAGATCCTTATCCATATAGAGGCTTTGCATCATCACGTGATGGCAGCCATGACTGGAGGCAGGAACAATTGAACCTGGTCTAATCTRCTGAGCTCCAATTGTTGGCATGTTCTTTTGGTTGGTCGGTTTGTCGATAGCTGGCTCAGTTTGTTGGTCATTAGGTTGGAAAGCATTCTTCCTYTTTTTCGTCTAGGATTTGTTGCTCATAGACCTCTTTACCTTGGGCGTAATGTTTTCCCATTTCAGACCACGTTTCATTTCCTAGAGTATCATTTCTTTGTTTGAAGGTTGCACATGAGAAGGCACATGAATATGGTACAACTTAACAAAGAATCTTATTCTCAACAGAATGACACGTGGTCTCAAACTCGCTTATCCATTTATTTCTTTATTGTTTTGTTTCATTGGTTTGTTGGTCTTTCAGTCGGTCGGTCGGTCGGTCGGTCGGTCGGTCCGTCGGTCGGTCGGTCCGTCGGTCGGTCCGTCGGTCGGTCGGATGTTGGTTGGTTAGATGGATGGATAGTTGGTTCATGAGTCGGCTGGTTGGCTCATTTTAATATACCTTCTTTTTCAGCTGGCTAGTGCCGCAAGCTGTGGTAGCACGGATTCATTCAAATCCTGTTTAGAAGATGATAATAACAGCTCCGAACGCTCAAGCGATAGCATCTTGTCTCGCTTCACTCCCTCGTAAGTCTCTTCAGTGCCCAGTTTATGTTAATAGCCTACTTTATAATAATAGACCTCTTTACCTTGGGCGTAATGTTTTCCCATTTCAGACTACGTGTCATTCCCTACAGTATAATTTCTTTGTTTAACGGTTGCACATGAGAAGACACATGAATATGGATACAACTCAAACAAAGAATCTTGTTCTCAAGAGAATGACACGTGGTATGAAATGGGAAAACATTAATCCTACCCTACCGGCCAAACTTTAGTGGATTCATTTAAACTAGGATAGATTTAATAGCGAACAACGATGGAACAGTAATCATTACACCCCTTACATGTGACGTCAAAGCATTTCAATTTGGATAGCAAAGCAAAATAATTTTAAACTCCTGAGAATTGGACACCTATTGWTATATTCCTCTAAATTGAACTGCATTCCGACGTGCTGCAAGGGGTCTGTTGACTGTCATCAAGCACTGAATAACATTTTCCCTTGGTTTTCAGTGCGTCATTTCATATAGAGCTACAAAGCGAGGATTACGATACGTACGACTCAGACACCACCCCTGAGACCCCCACCAGCGATATCTCAACATTGAGATTCGACGGTGGTTTCCATGACGACATATCCCTGGGGGAATTCGATATCATAGAGGAAGAGAATATCCTGAAACGACAGCTGAGCGTAATGGAAATCAGAAATGAGACGGAAGCGCGAGTTGGTCCTTGTACCCGTAAAAGTCACAGCCTAGAAAACCTACCGTCAATGACAAAAACTTCCGCAGAGGGAAAACTAACTGAAAATGAATTTAAAATAAGGCCGCAGAAAGCTGTGAAGCATTTGTATATAGGACGATCTTCGATCCAGGCCAGTGAACTACCACCTGGGATTGGTCTGGTTTCGTCTGCGAAGATTCCTGTGTCGCTTTCAGAAAAAGGCGAAGACCACGTGACGCGTGGGGAGAAAAAACTGCTAAGCTTAACGAATGTTTCTAATAGGAAATTTAAACACGAACGTAAGTAGGTTTTTTTTTGTTTGTTTGTTTATACTCATCCTTACTCTCTGCTTTCCGTTTCCTTTTCTTCCTTCAGTTCTTTTCGAACGAACGAACATAATTAGGTCTTGTTTTTTTGTTTTGTTTTGTTTTGTTTTTTGTTTTGTTTTGTTTTTTCTCCGCTTGCAATACTCGTTTCCTTCCTTTCCTTCTTTCCTTCCTTTCTCCCTCCCTTTCTACTTCCTCCCTTCCCTTCACTTGATTAACTTCTCTTTCTTTCCCTTCCCTTTTCTTTCCTTCTTTCCTTCTCCTTTTTATTAGTTTTCTTTTCCGTTTTATCAATTCGTTTTTGTCATCTCTTTCTTTCTGTTTTTCTCTCTTGCCTTTTTGTCTTTTCTTCACATTCCTTTTTTCCCTCTCATTTATAAATAATCTTTTAAAATTCCTCTATTTTACATTACAGATGAAAACAGTGGAAAACTAAGTCCCAAAAGAGTTTTACACCACCACAGGTAGTCACAACCTGTCTTCCATACGCCTTCTTATACAAATTACCCATTTCAGATCACATGACATTACCTTGATAATTGTTCTTTTATGACGAATATATGATGCATATATACATCCAGCCCTCATAAGAAGCCATAAGTTACCTATGAGACTATCACGAACCCCTTAACTTCTTCTTCTCCTCCTCCTCCTCCTCCTCCTACTCCTCATCCTCAACATCATCTTCATCATTTTATTCAAGGTATGACAAGCTTCCAGTGCGCTGCTTCGCAGAAGAGGTGTGCAGGTCAAGTGATGGTTCATCAGGTTCGTCACGACACAACCTTTTATATTCATGTCAAATATTAGCAACAACTTCCAAGCTATAACCTTGATATCACACTTCTTTAGCTTGTTTCCCCATTTCACAACACGTGCCATTCCCTAGAGTATCATTTCTTTGTTTAACAGTTGCGCATGAGAAGACACATGAATATGGATACAACTCAAACAAAGAATCTTATTCTCAAGACCACGTGTCATTCCCTATAGTATTATTTCTTTGTTTAACAATTGTGCATGAGACGACACATGAATATGGATGCAACTCAAACAAAGAATCTTATTCTCAAGAGAATAGCACGTGGTCTGAAATGGGGAAAAATTACACCCAAAGTAAAAGAAAGCATTCCAATTAGTCTAACATGAAGTATCAACCTTCTATTTCATCATAGTGATCAGCGGTATGTTGGAGTTCAGGAATCATTACAGTTTCGGAGTTCACTTGATATACGCGCTTCTTAGCGGTCGGCCCGTTATCATCATGGCGGAGGCGCATAACGAAAGGTAAGACACGTGATAGACAACGAATCCCCACCATCTTGGATGATTACATTCCAATTCGATCTTAGGAGGTATTCTCAAACTATTAGCCATTCCGAGGCTGAGGAAAAACACGGTGTCAATTTTTGAAGCATCGGGAGGGGGGATGGGGGGGGTGGGGGGTAGGGAACAAAATATACGCCATCTTGGAAATATGTTCCGGGATGAAGATTTGCAAAAGGTAAAGTGGAAGGCACGCAGGGAAACGATGGAAACGTGGTCTTGTCTGACGCTTGCGGGAAGAATAACTGTAATGCTCATTTTCTTTATTCGGATTTAGTTCGTAGCGGTACCATATTTATTGAATGTGATGGAAATCAGTATAAAGTGTCATTGTAATCGTTCTTTCATGTTTTTAATAGAGAGGTACGATTCTTGGTATCTGCCCTGTGGATGTTTGTGCTGGAACATAACGGGTAAGAAAAGAAATTCGTTTGTGAAAAACTCACAGTATGATCATCCGAGCATTTGATTAGATGAGGAGTGATCCCGCGCGCTGTGATTGGTTCGTAGGATGTCATTACCGTGACAGTACCATCTGAGCATTTGATTGGACGAGAAGTRATCTCGCGCGCTGTGATTGGTTCATGGGATGGCATGACCGTGACGGTACCATCCGAGCATTTGATTGGACAAGCAGTGATATAATGCGCGGGTGATTGGTTCATGGGGTGTCGTGACCGTGACGATACCATCCGAGCATTTGATTGGACAAGCAGTGATATAATGCACCGTGATTGGTTCATGGGATGGCGTGACCGTGACGGTACCATCCGAGCATTTAATTGGACAAGCAGTGATATAATGCGCTGTGATTGGTTCATGGGATGGCGTGACCGTGACGGTACAATCCGAGCATTTGATTGGACGAGCAGTGTTGTTTTTTTTTTGTTTTTTTTACGAGCAGTGTTATAATGCGCTGTGATTGGTTCAACGGATATCCTCAACTCCATACCGTGATCGTGTGCTGTGCTAGTACACCAACCTTGATYCCCTCCATTTTGATGATACCTTCCCTACCAACAGCGTAGCCAAAGTRTCAATGTATCAACTGCCCCATGTAGAAACCGCTAAACTATGCCAAGGGCGGATCCCCCCTGTTATTCCGGAAGTCAAATGGGCTTCCTGTGGTAAAAATGCGACCGGGATTCCTTTGTCCACAAAATTTTCCCCTGAGACCCCCCTTCAAAAAAAACCMTGGATGCGTCCTTGGATTTCTACATCATCTAAGACTCAAAAGTACTAAAGATTGTATTTTTGATTCTTAATAGCTGTGGCCGCACTGTCATTCCCTGGCGAAAAAAGCCACTTCAAATCACAGACCTCCCTTGTCTCAGATTAGCTGGTCTTTGTAAGTCACGACGATGCGTCCTACCCAAGTCAGTAAAGGTGAGATCAATAAACTTGAGTCCCTATTYTTGACCTTATCTTATTTCTTTCCTTTTTTCCCTGTTTTACGCAGCGCTACGTTTCTATCCTGGATTTTGAAACTGGAACCATCATCAGTCCACCTTACAAGGTTTGCAAATTATTAGT